CGGAGTTAAACACCACAGACAGATTAGTAAAGGTAAAATGGTTGTGCTTACATGTTGTGTTACTGTAGATTGTCAGTTTTAAATAGCTGATATATTTTCACGTAGTCATTGTAAGGCCATGCATGATGTTCTTCCCGATGTGGTTTATACACTGTTTCTGCTTCTAATATTCATATAAGTTTTTACCTTTTCCTCAGCCTACGCAAGGATGATTAGTGAAGGTATATATATTAGTATCTTTTATTATCAACATCTTCTCTTTTTTTCAGACTAGGAAGAAAAGAAGTAAAATTTGGGATTGCTGAAGAACAGGCTGGGACATTTATGTCATTTGTATTTGTGTTTTTTCCATCTATCATAGTTTCTGAAAGGGTAGTCACTTGTATGATATGATGCATGTATAGGCTTGAGTACATCAAAATTATTATGGAACAAAAGTGTTGCTTCTTTTTCTTTTTGATCTTAGTATGCAACCCTTCCATTATTCCTTGGAAAGATCTTAGAATACAAATGTGTAAAAAAAGGAATCTCTGAGGAATAATTAACTAACAAGATATAGGGAATATAGTTATGTTCTTAAGACATTTGACTATTTGTTTACTTAGAGGAAAATTTTATATTGTGTGTTTCTCCAATCTTACAGATATTTGGAAAGAAATCAACAGATGGACCTTCCTGCAGTCAGCCTGGATCAATGATTTATCTTCAGTCAGCACTGGAGAAATTCGATATTGAATCCATAAAAGCTGAACAGAGGCGTAGCACAGTTTCACTTGCAGACCAGATTCAAGCTGCTAAGAGCAGAAGACAGCGGATTGTCACCAGTAGATCTAATATTACATCAAGTCCATGAGGGTAAATTCTTGGCCTTGTGTTGGAGCAATTAGTGCATACCGGCACCCTAATGCCAGGAAAGGTGAATTCTTTGCCTTTTGAATAATTTGTTTTTGGTAGAGCCATAGAGGTGGAACACGGATCACTTAGTTTGGTCATATTCGGTGTACCATAGACTAGTTTATGATGGAAATTAAATCAATTATTGTCTTGTTTTCTTAGGTTGGTTCAATTTCGGTTTGGGTCAATATTGGGACATCCAATTCCGAGTACAGTGTAGGTTGGGTCATTTCGGATCTGGTAATTTAGGTCGGGGGGCGAGAAGAAGCATTTCCCGCCTTCCAAAAGCATAGCTTTAGCTATTACAACCTAAGCTCAATGGAATTATGACCATAAACAGCAATGAGGATTCCTCAAAAGGGCATCGGCTCATCGTCCAAGAATTTGTATTTTTAAGAGCTTTGGGCAGTCCCTAATTTATCCTCTAGTCTTTTGCGACCTGCCTTGATTTAGACCATGTTATCTTGTAAGTTGTAACTATGCTGCAATTTATGTACATTTCGTTAGCCATACATGTGATTTAGAACCAATCCTTGACATTTTAAATTTGATTGTAGCAGATATAAAGAAAGAAATGTTTCAGCAAATTTATATGGACGTATTTGTAATGTACTTTGTTTTACCTGAGAATGCTTATTGAAATAAAGCATGCATGTATGTGATTATGGGGTTATGGCTTTGTTCACTTCCCTCGAAAACAAATTGTTTGATTTTGTCTCGTCTCTTGGTTGGTATATTAGATCCATATTAGTATACTACCTTCTTACTTGTGATTTAACCAAAAAATGGTTGTGATTATACAACCTCACTTTCAAATTTAATTGAAACACCGCTTTAAAAAAAAAATTAATCCAAACACTATATTTGTACTTGAGAAATACTCAAGCACTTTAAAGAAATTTATTCTCCTAGAAAGAGCCGAATGTTATTATCTTTTGCAATGAGACATTTGACATTTTTAGGATTTACCATCGAGCGCTATTTGCTTTCAATGAGCGGCACCAAAAAAGTCTCATCGATACCTATGTTTCCATGAGATTTCCCATTATGAGATCCTTTAATATTTTTAACTAGATGGAAGCCCTTGCGATGTACGGTTTTTTCATCTAAGATTTTTAATTATTTGATTTATTGTATTTAATAATTTTAGACAAAATTACAAAAGTTTAATATTTATTTATTTTTTACTATAATTTATAATGTATTTATTATATATAAATAAATTGTAAATATGATTTTTTTTTCTGTTATATAAAATCTTTAATGTGAAATGATAAATTTTTAATAATTTAAATCCTAAATCATTATTCATTGTTTTAGCATATCTTTTATTTCGATAGATCACCAACCTTGTCCACAACCAACCTATTACATCAATGGATAAATTGAACCGTAAAATGTTAGCTAAACTGAAATTGATATAAATTAAATCTTTACATTTATATAAAATAAATCAATATATTTACCAATAAATGAAAAATTGTTGCGATATAAAATCAAATCTACGTATTGGAATCTTTTCATCATTTCCAAAAATAACCAAAGCCATCCATATATTAAGTATACAACATCTAATTGTATGCCATTACATAAACAAATAATCGTTAAGTATTCTAAATAAATACAATGTAACTAATAATTAAAAATTACCCGGACATTGATGACGTAAAACTAACACAAAATTCGCTTGATGGGGTTTTGTATTGATACGAAATTTTATTTGTGTCGTATGATGTGTTAGATCTGCATGTAAAAAAACATTTAGTAAATAAAACATAAAATACACGAATTAAATTATCTAAAAAATTATCTAAAATTTTAATTATACACGAATTAGATAATCTACGTGGCGACATAATTTTTTAATTCAAAATTAAAATATAAATCTTTCTTCTTATTGGTCGAAATAAGTATATTTCTTACGTGACGCTCCAAATGCTCTCCAAAAATGCCTACTTTATTTATTTATATTAGATTATCATCATAGCCCATCATCCATTTTGATATCATGGAAGATGCACCCCCAACAATTATGTCTTTAAACTCAACTTCGATGGTTCGCTTCGCACCAACTAACAGAGTCATCATCAGAGATAACGACGGAATCCTCATGAAGACATCTAAGTTCAACTCTAGCAACATTAAATATTCATAAAAGAAGCTACATCTCTTCGGAGTCCAACTAGCTCTTAAATGTGGTATTCAAAACATTCGAAGGTGTCATCAACTCAATAAAATACATTTTGGCAGTTCCTCGGCAGATTAAGCATATTATCAAAGATATTCATTCCCTCCTCATTCAGTTTCACAATTATTGGAATATCAAGCATATCTATTGAAAAACAAATTACGTAAGAAATTGGATCGCTAATTTAGACTATTTAGTATTTGACAGTATGGATATTAATATTTGTATAACTTTGACCTGTTTAAAATTTGATACATTAGGAATTTATTTATAAAAAGAAAAATTACAAAGTGGATTTGGATTGATTTATGAGTTGGTCATAGATACTCCCTCCATCCCTATTTGTTTGCCCCATTGCCAAAATGTGGGTCAAACTTTGGTAACTTTGACCATAAATTCTCGTTGTTCTACCAAAGGAAATATAGTCATGTGGGATCTTGTTTGGTTCATCTCATTATAAATTCAATTAATATTTACTTTTTATAATTTTTACGCATATGGATATTGAGATATAAACGTTTTGACACATTTCTTGGAGACCGCGTAAAGTCAAATGGGGCAAAAATAAAGGGACAGAGAGAGTAACAACTTTATATGATTTAGGTTCTAAGATTCTAGGCTTATATAACATCATTGTAAGCCCGATATTGAAACTGGCATTGACATGGTACTTAGGAGTGTTCAAAAAGACCCGACCTAATTACCCAACCCGATGACCCGTCGACCCGTAAAATTTTAACCGGGTATTTTTTGTTTTTTTCCAAAATTACTAAAAATGAAATGTAGCGGGTCGGGTCATGGGCCGCCCTTTGTACTTGGTAGGTACCCGTTGACTCGGTAAGCCTATTTAAATAAAAAATAGGGTATATATATTGCAAGTAGGGTTTTTTTTGTACCCTTTCAAAGCTTTGGCAGCAGCCAGCCACCACTTTTCAATCTCTCTCCATCCCCTCTCTCCTTCTCGTCTCTCTCTCTCTCTCATTTTCCATAGACCACACCACTTCCCACGACTGTCAGACCACACCATCTCACACGGCTGTCTCACACAGTCGCACCACCGCATCGAAGCGGCTGACAGATATCCCACCGCAAGTGTTGCAAACAGCTAGCACAAGACGACGACTCCGAGATATAAGGTGCAATGTTAATATTGATGCTATGAGATGGGTCCGAGTTCAACCATGAATTTTAAAGAAGATGCTTATTTGTAATTTTTAATATTTTTTTGTCTATGTTAAACTATGATAAAGTATTGCAACATGTAAACATCCTTCAATTTTTTTTCGAATTTATGGATTTGTAATTGTTAATGGTGTTCTGCATTTGTTTTAATTGATTATAATTTTGGTGTAATGAGATAATTTTTTTTTTAAAGACATGGATTTAATAAATTCGGGCACCCTATGACTCGATCCGAAAATTTCGACTACCCAAAATCCGGGTACCCGGTTTTCCCAAGTCGGGTCATGGGCCGACTTTTAAACTACTCGAAGATTCGGGTACACGCTGTACCCAAAAACCTGAGTTGGTACCTAATAGATCTTGGTTCCAAAAATTTAGAAACCTGAAACGTTACACATTGCACCAAGTTCTTGATTTTGTAATCTGAAATCTATGCTCTATGTTCCAATATCAAAATTGTAAGTTCTTAACATCTGATAACAAATTTAAGTACATTGGTATTTTGCTCGCCCTAGCAATTACAAGATCTAAAAAATCACGAGGGTTGAAGTACCGATAGAGTCCTTTATCCTTACCTTAGCAGGAAAAAAAACATACTCACCCCCCTTCATTCCTTTTTCCATTATCTGGATTTCTTTTGGAGACGAGGAGAACTTGCTTGGGATTAAGTTTGCATCGAAGTTAAGAGACAATAAAAAGAGTTTGTGCTATTCAAAAATATACCCAATGGTTAATATTAACAAATCAGTAGCTACTCCACGTTCAGACAATCTCCATAAAACATTCTATTAGTATCAAAGACGTTTATTGATCCATGCTTTAGATGAGATCCTACAATAATATAAGATTAAAAATAAATCAACCATGCCATTAATTGCAGATGGCAACTAAATTGGTAAAGTCTTGGGGCTTATACCAACAATATGCTCTTTATTTCACAGTTTCTGATCAAATGGAGTTGCAGGATGAAAGCCAAATCCATCAGCAAATCATTGAGCAAGTGTTGTTTAGAAATCAATTACCTCTACAATGGAAAGAGGTCAGCTTAGATAGCGTACAAGATCTGCATGCAAAGCATGGCCAGCCTGTTTTAAAGAGAAACATGCAACTGTGAGCTCTCTTACAAGGAAAATCATACTAATGAAGTAGTGTAGAAAGTATCCAAGTAATCTTTTACATAATGCAAACAAAAGAACTAATTCCATGCAACATGGCTGCATGATCAGGATATTGATTTGGCAGCTTAAATTGTAAATACTTGCTCTGCATCAAGATACAAGAAAACTACAGAAAACGGCTTAGGTAAAACCCAAGCTTGAAAACCTTGTATTACTCTCTCTCTCACACTCAGATGTTGCTTATACAAACATATGAAGGAGCTTGTCACAACAAAACTCATATTAGCCACTGGAAGCCATTGCTACAGTGACACTATCCCTCTTCCCATTTTCAAAGCAAAACCAGCAGACCTATAATTAAAGACAAAACTTGTACTACCAAGACCCTTATTACATGATCTCTGAGTATTGGATAGCTAAATCAAGTTGCAAATTAACTGCAAAATTACTTGATTTGGCCAATTATGCTCTCTATCTCTTTCTTTATCACATGTATCATTCATTTTATCTCTCTCTCACCTCTCCTAAAATACCATGCATCCCCTCCATATTGCACTTAAAAGACAACAGACAAGTACAGTATAGCATAAGATGTTCAATAAACTTGATTGAACACAGTACTACCCCACAGTTGCTGGTTTGATTTCCACTATTTACAATAACCACTAGTCCACCACATATCCCCCTCAAATTCTATCTACATGATTGTGTGTCTGATCCACATAAAATACCAATTATAGTTACCAAACCCACATCAAGCTCATATTGAAAGCTTAAAAAACTTTTTTGCATATCAGTAGGCAGTAGTATCCATCGGACTTCATAGTGCTTTGATTTCCATCATTAAAAACCACCATCCCTGCTACTAGAATAACTAGATTTCCTTCATCCTCTGATATTGATTTCATAAATGCATTACCATACACGGGCATGGAATTTCGGTCCAAAAAAAGCAGAAAGCCTCTTGCAATTAGTGGAAGGGGAGAGGAATAAGAAGCAAGAGAGGACAGTTAAAAAGACTCATTCAATGTCACCAACACCCTTCTCTTTCCCATCATCAAGCAGTTACCACCTCACTTGCCCTTGCCCCCGCCCCCTCTCTTTACCGGATAAAAAGTTAAAATTGATTAAATAATCTCCTCAACATATATCGTGTTTATTTTTGTATTTTTTTTAAAAAAGGAGAATTCGCCACAAAGACCTTTAATGGTACTTATTTTTTAAAGAAGACCCTTTTTAAAAAGGTGGCAAAATAGAAGCTTAAATTGTGTTTTGGTTGTGAAAAGGGACCGTATGAAGGATTCTGACCATTGACTATTTTTCCGACGTTGACTGGCACGTGTCTAAAAAGAAGCCTATATTTTTTCCCCCACACTTTGGCTCTTAAAGGGAAAACTTAGGTCAAAATTGGTAAAGAATAACCCGAAATGCCTCATTTTGCATCCCAAGTAATGCCTTGATACTTACGCGTTTTGACACGCAAACTGAAGTGTATTTAGTATTTTTTGTCAATTTTGATCCTTAAGAGCTAAAATGACCCCAAAAACCTTAATTGAACAATTAATTTTGCTTGAAAATAGTAGCACAAATATCGAGGTGTTGTAATAATTTTTTTTGCCAAATTTGACCTCAAATTAGATCCTTAAGAACCAAAATGTGGGGAAAAAAAGAGAAGAAAAGAGGCTTTTTTAAAGTCACGTGCCGGTCAACACCGGGAAAAAAAAGTCAGTGGCCGAAATCCATCATAAGGTCCATTTTCACAACCAAAACATAAGACAAGGTCTTTTATTTGCAATTTTTTTTAAAGGTTCTTTTTGACAAAAATAATGGTACTCCCTCCATTCCCAAAAGAAGGTCACGTTTGGTGGTTTTACATAATTCTTAAATCTGGGAAAAAAAATTGAAGCGTAACCTAAAGGGGAACGCCTAAAGTGACAAATATAACCCTATTTCAGGAACGGAGGAAGTACCATAAAAGGTTTTTTGTGACAAATTTTCTTAAAAAAATTAATTCATTTCAACAAATATAAGTTTACTTCGGAATCCCAAAAACGTCCAGCAAATATATGTACAAAAGAACAAAGCCTAAAACAATCTTGCTAAAACCTGAAAGTGTATCTACTACATCTTTTGGTTGTCATAATAAATAAGAATTTTGACTCTTTCTAAACTAAACCAAAAAATTAGAGAAAATCACCTTATAAGCAACAATATGTGCTACAGGAAGCCCTTGATTGCCAGATTTTGCAAAGATAGAGAGATCACCAATAAGATCCAAGACTTTATGGCGACAAGGCTCATCATGGAAACGCAGTAGTGAATTTAACCAACCTTTCAAGGCACTGCACGATAAAATTTCGCACATTACTTTGATTATAAATTCAGAGTACCAGAATAATACAAAATCACAAGAGCAGAAGCAAATGTCAAACAGAAACAGGTGAGGCTTTATGGAAAACTTTATAAAGGCCATACCTTTAAGTCAGAATTCAAGCATAATTTGTCAATTATAGATTATCAAAAAAAAAAAAAAAAAAAAAAAAAAAAAAAAAAAAAAATTAAAGAAAGCATTATCCCAGCTTGCAACTTTAGAGGAAAGTGGATCTTCACAATCATAGAGGCACACATTTTGTACTTGAAACTATACGTGTTTCTTCTATGAGTGAACTTTGTCAACATAATCCTACTTGCAATTCTACAATGAACAGTTCCAAGAACACTACAACCAACAATGTTTCCAAAAGGAACTACAAAACCTAATTGGATATAATAAAATACATGGAATTCACAAACTTCCAAAAATATAAATTGTCAACGTTCAAAATATTTCTAGTGAAGGTTCCCAAAAAGAAAGAAAAAACAAAAATCAAATTCAAAAGAGAAAAGTAAATGAAGAGAAATTCAAAGTTTGGTTGTTTCATTCAAGTTCTGTAATGTTTAATCTTTTGAGTGATCAAATGTAAGTGTTGGAAAATATTAAAAAAGTGGATTGATTTGTTTGATGAATTCTTGTGAAGTTGAGTTGGAGATTTACGGTCATTATTTATTTTTTATTAGGTTTTATTAGGATATTTGGCTCCTCAAAGTTTAGTTAAACTCTCTCATTTTCCTAAATATTTCCTACCCTTTACTAAAGCCACCTTTCGACCTTTGTGCATAGAGTTTTATTAATGTGAAAGTAGTTGTTTATCAATGCAAGGAATGATTTGATATATTCAGAGTCGACTATTTGGTTGAGTGCATGTCTTTTAAACACACGAATGTTGTGAGTTTGGGAGGGCATTGTTCACATATAAAGGAGTGGGCGAAGAGCGATCGAGTAAATCTTTTACTAAATGAGAGTAGAGTGCGTGAGCACTAGTCTTGAATTCTATATGTTCTTGTGGTTTTCCCAATTTGACAATTGTGAGGGAACATTGGTAGTTGAATGGATTTAATTGGTTGACTTTGATACAAATTTGTAGGGTTTGCCAAGAATTATTTTATTGGTTTGTTTTGTATTTATGGTAAAGTATTGATTTTTATGTTCATTGATGAGTCTTTACTTAGGGACATGCAAAGGTTTGGCTTGGGGGAATTTGATGTGTGTATTTTTTATACGATTTTATTCCCGGACTCGTTTTGATCGGGGAATAAAATCGTATATATATTACACACAGCACCTCTCAATCCTCCGAAAAGGATAACACTCTTCAAGTTGATGGCATGCTTACTAATGGAATGAAGAAGATTGGTTTTAGGAAGCTATTGCGAAACTAGAAACTATTAGGCTTCCTACCAAGGCGAGTAGAAGATTTCGTAGGTTTGAACCTGTCACATCCAATACTTTTCTTTGCACTTCTTGTGAAACTCATGTTTTGCTCGTTTTCTCCTGCTATCGCAAATGACTAGCCATAGAATTTGGTCATCCACACTAGCTCGCTTTTTTTTTTTTATCTATTTCACCCGGAAGATGATTAAGCAATTGCATTAAGCAATTGCACCACATCTCATTTTAAGATGTGGAACCATTTCAATCACCACAAACAAATATTGCCATGGAAATGGTGATTGAATCCAAGACCTTTGATTTAAAAAGTTTTAAAGAAAGGGATAATAGAAAGATGCACTGATCAAGCAAAAAAAACAGAGATTTCTTCCCTAACAATGAAACTCGAAAAACGTCCAAAAGACATGAGTAATTTCAATGAGAAAGGAAAGAGGATACTGGGAGAGACAAAGCAAGGGGTGGAATCGACTTTTCATGTACAAAAAATAAAGGGAAAACAAAAAAGTGAGACCCACAAATGAGTTGTTTAGATGGAAGCCATTTATGGGTAATGTTACTCAAGAATTATGAGTCTTCAAGATAGTTTTTTACAAAATATAAGATACTGTTGTTTTTTTAAGTGTATGTTTAATCGACAATTTTTGACAAAAAATCCTAAAGTAATTGCCATTTTATTAATCAACAATAATATTTACAAGAAGCAATATGTTCAACTCATTACGTAATGATTGGATCTTAAATAATCTATCAATACAAAAACTATAATCTCTCATTGTCCCGAAAAAAATTCATGTTTGCCTTTTTTTACGTGTTTTTAGGAAGGTTAATAAAAAAAGAGCAAAATAGTGAGGTTTGGTGGGTCAAAAGTGAATAAAATAAACAAAATAGTGGGATTTAGTTGATAATAAGTGAGTAAAAAAAAAAGATAATAGAGTTTGGTTGATTAAAATTGAATAAATTTGTTAAAAACAACCTTTTATAATGACGTTTTTGTGAGAAACAAACTTTTAAGAAAATTTTGGCAACTCAAACCTTAAATTAATTTTTTTTGTAAGACACAACCTTACCTTTTTTTCTGACTTTGACCAAGCGTTTTCCGACATTGACCAAACATGTGCAAGTCACATGAGCCCATTATTTTCTATCTCCACCCTTTTCCCTCCAAATCCCCCACAACCTTCTCTTCTTCCTTCCTTCTCCATTTGCAACACCCTTCTCTCTTCTCTCAAATTTGAACATCCAAATCCTCCCATTTTTCCTATTCGAGTCCCAGAAATCTTAATTCGACCAAGGTAGATTATGTTTTCCTTTCTAATTTCTTCTAAAATTTGTAATTTGTGCATAATGAAAATTAGGGTTTTCCCCCTACTTTTTACAAGAATCAATCTTCTTTATTCTCACAATTCTATCGCAAAGAAGAGGATGCTATCCATTTTTTTTTCAATCAAGAATTCATGCTTTGCCATAGTACAATTCAAATTGAAGGCCAAGAATCAATCTGAATTATTCAAACAAGAGTCACGATTTGCGATGAAAGCATCAACAAACCTTGACCATGTAAATCATGTGATTAATTTTAGTGAATACATTAGTTTCAAAATTGTATATAGATAAACAACATTTTGATTTGATAAATTTGGAGGGAGTAGATATGATAAACTTTGATACATTAATTTCAGAATTGTATATATATATATATATGGGAAATTTGAAAGGGTAGGGAGTGCAAATAGAAGAAAAAGGGCATATAGGAAGAAAAAAAAAAAAAAAAAGAGCTCATGAGATTTGCACATGTTGGTGAAAACGCTTGGTCAACGTCGAAAGAAAGGTAAGGTTGTGCCTTTAAATAAAAAAATTTAAGGTTTCAAGTTGCCAAAAAAAAAAAATAAGGTTGTTTCTCACAAAAAAAGTCATAATGAAAGGTTGTTTCTGACAAATTTTAAGAGTAAATAATAGATGAAGGTGAAATGAGACTTTTATTTAGGGACAATGTTTATGAGTGAAATGAGACTTTTATTTGGGGATGGAGGAAGTATAAACAAAACCGCAACACCGCACATCAAAGTATGCAGACACAAAGCAATTTTACATTATGTTAATTTAACTTGTGTCAGTAAGATTAGAGGCCTTACCTACAAACAATAGCATTTTCTAGTGAACCACCTTTTATAAGCCCCATTTCACGCATCTTCTCCACCTGTCGTGAGATTTAAAATAAGTTCAAAACCTGATACATTTTTCCGACCTAGATTAAGTTGCATTCACATGGACAAAATCCAATGTCTATCATTAGAAACATAAACAGGAAAAGAAGAATAAAAAAAAAAAAACTGAAAATAATTCAAACAATAAAAAACTGTATAAAGGTACTCCATTGAATGAGGCACAATTTGACAAAATTCAAACTAGGATGTTTAATTCTTTCTTTAATATCATCAACATTTTATTCCATAATAGCAAAAGTTTCAGCATATCAGCATTAGTTTATAGGTATGAATACATATTTCAAACATCAAAACATGATTGGAGTGCCAAAAAATTTGTTCAAGAACAAATTTCTTAGATTAACCTCTTCATGAACACAAAATGTTCTGGCATGAGCTATCTCTGTTGCATAGAAAGACCCGCTAAAAATCTTTGAAAAAAACCACTGGCAACCAATCGAAGGTACCTGCAAAGGCAAAGTGATTGAAATTAGTTTCCAAAACACTTTTTACAGAAAGCTAACTAGCTCTAATCTCAACTTTTACGAAATAAAATTGGAATAAAGACATTTGCAAATCATAACTAGTTTCATATTATTCTACAGATATCTTCTATAAAGATCTGCAGATGTGTGCTTTAAATAGTAACCTACCAAGCTTGGTAAAGCAATTCACTATCAACTAAAACAGAAGACTAATAGATACAATAGATTCACAAACAGTCAACAAGTGATAATCTTTGATATCCATTTTTTAAAACTTGTTTGTCTTTCTATACCATATACTAATCATTTTTCAATGTGTCTTTACATTTTTGGTTCAGGTTATGTGTACGTTGAAGAAAAGAGTGGAGAAAGGAAGGATGCAAGATATGGGGTTCAAAGTCTTCAAACTGATTGGAAGTTCAAAGGAGATAGGTATAAAAATTGCAGTTATTAAATGCACATGAGGAAATATTGGTGACAAAATTGAAATGATCATGCAATGTCAAATTGTACCTAACATATATTGAGCTTCTAAATCTGCAATAACTTCATAAGGGGCTAATGACATGAAACATACTTATAAAAGCACAATAGACCTACAGTAATGGCATTTGTTGCCGTTGGCGATAAGGTCAAATGGTCAATAAAAGAGTGATTATGGAGTTCACATGAAGATTAATTTAGAAAATGGACTACAAGCCAGGGTTACGAATCATGGATCATTTCTAAGGATTTTTTATGGTTTACATACTCTCTTCATGACACCAACCCATGCGAGTAAATATAAAAATTAAAAGGTTAAATACAATCAAGTTTATTGAATCACCTTTAATTAGTAGAATATATATATATATATATATATATATAGAGAGAGAGAGAGAGAGAGAGAGAGAGAGAGAGAGAGTATAAGAGTGCTACTGCACAAGATAAAGGTCAAGACCAGACAAATAAGCATTCCTTCTTCTCAAGCATGACACTTGAATCGGTCATTTAACACTCCAACAGGTGCATAGTCCATATCATCTTGAGGTAATTACCTTCAAAGTTAATACTATTATAACACGAATCAATCTTACTCAGAATTTGTACTAAACTTCTAGTATTGTCCCTTTTGCCCTTTCCTGAGGAATTTGAAGTAACCAACAATCACATGTTATGTGTTTTTTTTTTTTTTTTTTTTTTTTTTTTTTTTTTTTTTTTTTTGGGAAAGAACAATCACATGTTATGTTAACATAATTCCACATGGCCTGATGAGGCTCAACCTTGTCTTAGTGGAAAATGTACCACATTAATAGGATTCCAAGATAGCAAGCACAGTTAAGCAGCACAGATAAAGTGCTAATCGGAAAAGAAAACTACATAAAACCAAGAATCAATTGTTTGACAATGAAATGCCATGAACAAAATATCAAAGCAAAGGAAATTAGCAAAGATTGAACCTCTGGAAAATTGATGCCGTAACTAATATGAATCTCCTGGGATGGAAAAGCTGCAATGAATGAGTCTTTTCTCCTGATATGAACAGGCACGTTGACATATGGTGCCATCTTATCACAACTATTGCCCTCTTCATCTGTGGCATCCTTTAAGCCAGTTTGTTCGATTGCTTCCACCCACTCCCTTGCCGAACCATCCAAGATGGGTACCTAATACCATAACCGCACTAATTATCAAATTTTAATCTATAACAGTATTCATATTTACCAAATTTCATACTCCCTAATTAGTCATCTACATCATAGCCAGAGCTAACATTTTAGTAAAACAGCGATATAAACCATTTGTGATAAAACTGTTTACATCATAATAAATGAAATGGCAATTGATCTTGACCTGTAAATCAAGTGTGCATATTTACAAAGTTGATCTTTTTTTTTTTGGTTAGTAAAGTATTTATCGGTGTCTTTTATAAATTTGATCTTTAATTTTAATCTTACTTTTTACCAATTTGATTAAGGGATTTTCTAACGTGTGCTCATGTCGTGCTAATGGCACACAATATGACTGAAAAGATTCCCAATTTCTAACAAATAAAATGAGAATCTTTTCCTACCTGATTAGTCTAAGTCGATGAAGTTTAATATTTTCTGTTCACCATTCTGAATCTATCCTAGGATCGACTCAACCAAAAAGCTTAAGTTGATGATTTGAGCTCAGAATTGGTTATATGCTCTATCATGTTCTATTAATTCATAAAACCCTTTTTGTTTCAAGAATTACAAAATCGGATAATGTCACCAATAATCCACACTCATCAGTCATCACTAAGAACTTTTAACAAAAACAATCCCAACTAATTATCAATCAAGATGAACAAAAAATTCACAGCAATAACCAAATAACGAAATTCGAAAAAGAGAAAAAACAACCTCAACAATAGGGTCATCCGGGTTAGTGGGGGTGAGCTCAATACAGCAATTATCAACCCCAATTGCTTCCAAAGCTGAAAGCAGATGCTCGACAGTAGTAACCTTAACACCATCTTTACAAAGCGAAGTACAAAGAGGCGATTCTTTGACAAAATCAATGGAAGTTTCAATTAAATTATTACCCACTTTGAAATACCTCCCTTTTTTGGCTAACTCCGGCCATAACTTGACCTTGGTTGATCTGCCTGAGTGTAGGCCAATGCCATGCTTTTCTATGCATCTAGATAGTGTTTTTTGAAGCTTGCCCGTCTGATAAAATACCAAGAAATTGAAGAAAATTGAGAGATTATTCAAGTATTGATGAATTGAGGAGAGAGAAAGAGAAGTCAGAGTGTTTTGGACGTACTGATTTCCATGAAACTGCTGCTGAAGTCGCAGAGGACTTCAAAGGGTTGAATGACATTTGTTATTGAGGGAGAATTTTTGGTTTTGAATGAAGGTATTTATACGCAACTATCAAGGTTCAAAAAAAAAAAAAAAAAAAAAAAAAAAAAAAGGAAAATTGGCATGATTAATTTCAACTTTGTCTCATCCGTCCAAATTTATCCTAATTTTAGATTATTTTTTGTTAATCCGAACTTTATACTCCGTCTGCTCATAACACTTTCAATCGGTCATCCACCCTAATATTATAGGTTACAAAACACGTGTCAGCGAATGATTGGTTTAAAAAAAATTAAAAAATACATAAATAAATATATAAAGAAAAACTAAACTTCCCAGCCACCCACAGTTAGCGCCCTGCCACACACTGCCAGCCCAACCTCCTTCCCACCGAGCGCCAGCTGGCGCCCAAACCCCTTTCTCCTCCCTCAATGCCGGCGCTGCCCCAACCACCCTCCCTTTTGCCCTTCGATCACCACAAAATCCAGCAAAATCCCTAAAATCCCAACACTAAATCCCAAACCCAAACCCTAACCTTCGATCTCCGGCAACGGCAATGGTAAAGGGAGGAGAGAAAAAAAAAAAAAAAAAAGCAAAACACTAGGTCGACGGTGAGGGGAGGTGCAACTGAATGTTTCTGGTAACCAGGGAGGTGATTAAGGGTTTTTAGAGGGGACGGGGAGGGGTTACGAATTAAGGGGAAAGGGGAAAGGGGAGGGTGGTGATAAGTCTATTTTATATACTCGTATATTTTTATTCCGTCCTACGGTCATATTTGTGTTTATTTGAGCTCTGTGGAGCTATTTTTATTACTAATATATGTTTCTAGTGTTTTTATAGAGTTGATATTATTTTGTAAGAATTTATAGATGTATAATAATTCCGGAGCTTATTGAGCCACTACGAAAATATTAGAGTCAAATCGTATTTTATGAACGAGTATTTAAAGCTCAAAACCGTACTAAATAAATTTAGTTCGGTGATTAAGGGCTTAATTGGTGAAGAAGGTCCAAGTTTAACAAGCTACTATTACGGACCAAGTAATGGCTCACAATTGGATTTGATGGGCGTGAATTAGAGGGCTTAGTCGGGCGGCCCAATGCCTGATCGGGCAAGTGTACTGCAATCTTCTTACTAGTCGGTTTACTACAGCTTTGGGCCCATTGATAATACCCATCTTTCACGGTTAAAGGAGCATGCTTTTGGGCTATTTAACTTCTAATTTGAAGACTTTGTTTTGGGTTAGGAAACAAAAGTCGGTGGACTTTGTTTTATTAGGTGGGGTTTTGTTATAAAAGGGGAGGAGTAGTACGTAGTGAGGAGGTTAGCTTTTAATTATTTCCATTGCTTTTTCATTATTGTTCTTAGTCTTTTACGTTGCTTTTTAGATTAGTGGTAGATTAGTTTTAGCTTTTTATCAGATTCTTTGGTTTCAATGTTTTCATTGTTTGGTTCATCCGTATTATTTAGTTTTATCGTATTTCTCCGTATTACTTTAGTTTATAATTATTGTTTTAATCATGCTTCCTTTATATGCTTTGCTTAGTTTAGATTTAATTATGCGTGAGTAGTCTTACTAGGGTTTGTGGAGATCCATAAATAATATGAAGGGATAGTTTATTATTGTTGATTGTTAATGCTTGATTGATTTCCTATTGATTGATTTAATGCTATGCTATTAGATTTGCGCAGGTTTCATTGTATGAGTTATGCAATATTGATTCGAGATTCGAGAGATGAGAATTGATGTTTAGGCTTAGTTTCAATAGGCAGGTTAATTTATAAATGGTTAAGTCAAGATTCGAGAGATGTGATTTAATACTGGTAGATTAATTCTGTGATCGTAATACGTAGCGAAAGCTCTTTATGATCTGATTGATCTATGCATTGATGATTGTGAAAGAAATGGTGTCTTTCCAACAAGTGTATTATTCTGATAGAGGGTTCAGAATTATCAGGAAGCTAATTCTTCAGTGAGATCAAGTGATTGAAATGCCTGGGTGGAGGCCGCTTCCGATCTATAATATTAGTGAACAATTAATATTACAGCTTTGTCTTGACTGAACCCTTCGGATCGAACTCAAACGAACTGCCGATCCGAACCGACAAATCAATCCGAAGGATTTGATGAGTCACTAGAGTGTTACGAACATAAACGTCGAATATCGAGCCTAGGGCGTAGAGACCGAGCATCGCAAAATCAACAAGCAACAATTTCGAGCAAAGTCGTAGCATCACATTAGCCTAGCCATGTGGTTGCTAGGCTAGCTCGAGCTAGCACATCACCAACGTAGCACCATGGGTGTGCGTGCGTGCGTGCATCACTAGCACAACACCATCGTGCTCGCTAGCACAACACCATCGCAGCACCATGGTTGTACGTGTGTGCGTGCTTGACTAGCGTAGCAGCACGCTGTGCATGCTAGCACTAGATGCGTGTGTGTGCGCCTTCGCATGGCAGCACCAAGCACAGCGCACTAGGCCTCGCCTAGCAGCAGCAGCATGCGTGGCTCGCTAGCAGCACACATGCGCTGGCTGGGCTGTGCGTGCTATCTGTGCTGGCTGGCTGGCTGCCCAGCCTTGGTGCCAGGCGCCAGCTGGCAGCCTTGACAGCCAAGGCAGGCTGCCAGCTTGCCCATGACTTGAGGCCGATTTGGAGGAGTGGGGACCAAAGCTTGGAGGCTTACCATGGGGAGCAAGGCAATGGTCCCCCCTTGGTTATGGTCCTCACCTAACCTCTCCTCTCCTCATGCCACTTGTTGATTGTTGATTGCATTGTTTTATAATTTATTTTTGATTTAAATAAATTAGTAGAAAATGCACAAGATCCCACATTGATCATGAATGGGGATGCAAGTTGCTATTCTCTATAAATACCCCATGATTGGGCATTTGGAGAACAACTTGAGTGGAACTCAAAAAGGCATCTCTTATTATTGAGAAAAACTTTAAGTTCATAAAACTCTAGTTTTATATTTGGTCAAGTCTCGACTAACCCTCGAGATGAAGATCGTTCGGGTCGGGTCGTGGGTACGAGCCGTCGGAGGCCGTCACGCTTGTGAGGCTTTAAGCTTCGAAGTAAGAGCTCGGTTTGCGAGCGAAGCACGCTTCAAGGGTATTACTTCTTTATCCCTTCTCTTAATTATTGATTAATTATGTTTATGCATGCTTTATTGCTTTAATTATTGGGGCGGGTCTTGGGCGGGTTTCTCTTCTGCGTAGCGTTGGACGCTATGAAACCAACAGATTGATTATTATGTTTTACCCTAGAATATTATTTATTGGTGAACTTATACCCTAGGCCTTTTATTATTGTTTTCCTCCCTTATTTAATTTGCTTTAGTTTAGTTATTAGTTTAATTCTCACAAAAACAATTTGGTTACTTGATAATTTAGATTATATTAATTAATTAGGAATAGAAAGACTTGTTTCTCTGTGGATTCGACCCTACTTCCCTATCTATATTAGTTAGTGGTTTTAGGAATTACTTTTGATTTGTTGATACGACTTTAGCCTGTCAGGTGGTCGGGGAAGCACTGGCACCGGGGGAGGGGAAGGGTGGTATGGGTGGCGGCTGGCTGACGCTCAGGGGAAGGGGTTGGGGTGGCAGTGGGCTGGTCGTGGGTGGCACTGTGGCAGGGGTTGACATGGTTTTGGTGTTTTTTTTTTATCTTTTTTTTTTTTACCAATCACATGCTGACATGTGTATATTAAACTTAAAAAAATATATTTACCTCCTTAACAGGTCACTGGTCACCTAAGAGTGTTATGACCGGACAGGGTATAAAGTTCGGATTAATAAAAAAAATAATCCAAAGTTGTGATTAATTTGGGTAGATGAAGCAAAGTTGAGATTAATCATGGAAATTTTTTTCCAAAAAAAAAAAATAAAAAAATAGAAAATTAGTTTTTTTAATTTCTTTTTTAGAAATTATCTTTGATAATATCGTACTTTTTAATTTTCTCTTTGGTAAACGGTAAAAATTTCTATTGTATTTAGTAACCTTGTATTATTGATACCACGTTACACATGACATTTGTTCCGGGTATGGATCTTGGGATTCAGACTGGAGCAGGCTGGGTCCATCTGGATAACCTACACAGGGAGACAAACATAACTGCCCTTGGGGGTGGCTCGAGGAACCCCCCCTCCAATGCTTAAGTTAGAATGTGTCTAGAGAGAGAAAGTGTACTTAGATAGAGAGAGTGTAATAACTCGTGTGTCTAACCTCTTTTACGTTGTACTTGGTTCCTTATTTATAGTCGTACGATCTCCTTTAGGCGGAGTCATACTTGGTCAGCCTTCTCACAGCCCACCCGGCACCCCCTCCCCTTTTTCCCCCAAACCTGACACCCCCTTCCTCTTCTTCTCCCCTAATCACCCCCTCCCTACCTCGAAAACGACCTCTCCCCCTGTCCCGTATCGAGAAAATACCCCGCCTCCCCTTCCTCCATCCCGAAAACGCCACTGCTAAACCTTAAACCTCTACCCCGAAACCACCCTAAATGAGTTTAGGGTTTCGGGTACGGTGTCGAGGTAGGATTTAGGGTTTGGGGCTTTGGGGGCGGCGTTTCAAGGTTAGGGAGGGGAGAGGAGGTCGATATAGGGGTACGGGACAGGTTACCGGTGGGGAGAAGACTGACATTGTGTGCGGGGGAGTGGGGCTAGCCAGCATGGTAGTGGCTGGCTTGTGGGGAGGGGGTGAGTTGTTTTCTTTTTTTTTATTAACTTTAAAGTAATTTAATTATAAAAAATAAAAAAGTAACCATGGTTAATTATTTTAATTAAAATAGTAATAGTTATTATTTTTGGTAATTGTTACACCTAAAATTAATTTTTTTTTTTACTTTTCTTGACTTTGACCTGTAGACCAAGGAAAATGGACTTTAGAATTATGCTAAATGTTTAGGGTAAAAAAATACCCCTTCATGTGGTCTAATCCTATAGTGACACGTGGCCCATTTAAAGGGAAACACGTGTCCCAATAGGAAGACTACACGTGGCAGAACAAAGGAGCATCTGAAAGAGAGAAGGCCTCCTTACATCAAGAGGCCCAAATCCCGCGAGAAAAGCGTTATAACGGAGCCCCCAAAGAACACATGTCCTACTCTGATTGCGCCTCCAATCAGATCACTCCTTTTTAGGGAGCCAACCCTAAAGTGCACACATTCCAACCCCTATAAATATCCTAATGATTTATGATGGGAGGGGTGTATTGAGACATTTTATTGAAGGCATATTAAATTGCTCTAACTTCTCTCTACTTTCTCTCTCTAAAATACTTTCGTTTTTCGATCACTAACTTGATTGTCGGAGGCGAATATTTCGTCAAATGGAATATTCATTGTTTTGCAGGTGTCTGCGGCTGATCGGCTATATTTAAGACCTGTATCATGAGGGATTCCAAAATACCCTGAAATATTTGGTGCCGTCTGTGGGGATACACGTCTGAAATGGCTGAAGATGGTTAGACACTCGGTCTTGGTCAGGACGGTCATGTGGAGAATATTGACGTCAACATCAATAGTAATGATCCTCTGACCGCCGCATTCCATGAGGCCGAGGATCCT